AGAGAGAGAGAGAGAGAGAGAGAGAGAGAGAGAGAGAGATGGCAGGTTTTTGAAGTGGTATATGAAAAACACACACACAAGGAACCCCACACTTCAACACGGTTGGGAACTCGTCACTTACGCTGGAATACGACAACAACGTCTTAATACATGGCCCCCGCATCCTAACCACATCGTGACTAACTCAAAGAAAGGCACGTAAATGCAATGCAATCCGACGGCCGTTACGACTCATCCCGTGACGCGCAACATTGTACGGTGACGGCGCTAGACTTTAAGTCTGGGATGATCGTGGGTACGGAGACGATGTTGAGGGGATGATCGTGGGTACGGAGACGATGTTGAGGGGGGGCGAGTCGTCGTGGAGGCTGGAAACGCAGTGCGTGGAGAAACTCCTTCATCGATTGAAGGACGAACACAACCTCATAATCGTTGAGGTTGTGCATGACGACTGTGGTGCGGTTGACGTCATCCTGCGACAAATGAACATCGACTCGCAGAAGTGTATGTGGCACAAAGCCAAGACTTTGGTGAAACGCTTGCGAGAGGCAGTGCGTGCCACTAAGACTGTCAAGACATCTGTGGTGGGCTCTTGCGAGCACGTTCGCGAGGTGAAGTGTTTCACAAAGAAGGAGATGGAAGTGTGGCTCGAGACGAAGGGTGTGAGCTTGCCTGGGGCTGCCACGAAAAAGAAGGACGAGCTTGTGGAGATAGTGTGGGGTGTGTTGTTTCCCAACGAAGCAGGGAAGCCGTTGGAAGATGACATTGTCGAGATCGACGCGTTGGAGGGCTTGCATTGCAATGCGGCGGAGGAGATGAAGGAATGGTTGTACGGTGCTTGCCGGATGCACGAACGGGCGCGGGATGACGACGGCAATGTATTGGCCTCACATGTGCAACACCTAGCCGATCACTGGGCTGGGGATCACTCGATGTACGGCAAGGAGTTGTCGAACCTGTGGAAGGCGGCTGGCGGTTAAGATAGATAGTCATTGTACGAGGCTGGGGGTCGGGTTCATGCAGCCGTTTCACGATGTTTGCAGCAGTTCACTTCGAACACGAAGATGGCATACTACACACGTGCGAGAATGACGTTCAAGAACGAATGCTTCCACTCTGTGATCAACAAGTATTGCACGAAACGATTGAACTTCCCAAAGTCGTATGAGGCGCGGGTTTGTTGCACGGCACTGGAATGGAAAAAGAATAAACGAATCAGGCCATCACACACTACTTTCCGCAAACCCACGAATGTCACCCATCGACGACGCTCCGCAAGACGTCACGTTTACCCCGGTCGCGACACGTCGTGGCGATTCGACATTGCAACTGCAGTTTTTGGGAGTCCTCGGGTCGGTGACTGGGCCCGTAACATGTTGCATCAATCGGACGTCGACGACCCGGTTGTTGAGCATGTTGATGTTGATGCTGATTTCAGACTGCCGGTTGCTGGTGAGAGAGTAGCCCGGGGTGACGAAGGTCAAGGTGCCGACATTTTGTTCGAGTCTACGAGCGACGATGACTCGGATGATGAGAAGTCATCATCGGATTCCGAATGCGAAGGTGTCGCTCAGCGCCTCGACTTTGACGGCGCCGTGCTATCGCAGGAGGTGTCTGTTGTGCAGGGTTGATAGCGGGCGATGGTATGTCGTGCGGGAGTGAGAGCGGCATTTGGTCAGGGAGTGACGTTGTAGTCAGGTGCAATATGCAGAGTCATTATACATAATTTATTTCAGGAGTTGCATTTTCCAAGTTCCATTTTGTTGAAAGCGGCATTCCGTATTTTGGAAGTTGCTTTTGGTTCTGGAATGACATTGTCGTGAAGTGCAATTTGCAGAGTCATTGGCTTGAAAATGAGTTTCGTTACATTGTCTGGAATGACATTGTCGTAATGTGCAATTTGCAGAGTCAGTGGGCAGAAAATAAGTTTCGTTACATTGTCTCGAATGAGAGAGAGAGAGAGAGAGAGAGAGAGAGAGAGAGAGAGAGAGAGAGAGAGAGAGAGAGACTTCCTCTGACGTTCGTATTGTTTAGCATGTATGAATTTCGTCAATGGGGCAGAGAGAGAGAGAGAGATGATAC